GACCCGGGAAACTTGGGCAATAGCCTCGATCCTGTGTATCAATCCGTGAATCCGTGAACTGAGTGAGCGGGTTGGGGCGACTATGACCGCGCTTCGTTCAAAATTTATTGTACCGTTGTCTCGGGCGTTTGCTGCGCGTGTTTGCTCGGCTCGGGGGCCCACGGTGCCCGTGATTCCTAAAGGAATGACAGGTGCCGACGACTTAAGCCATGCTGTAAATGCCTATGCATCTGTTTCTATGTAATTTTTCATAAACTAGGAGATACAGGAGTTCATATCACAGGTGAAAAACTTGCCGGGCTGTAAGGACATTGAACAAAGTGAGGTTGAAAAAGAGGCGCTTCTTTTCCTGCGTGCTAGAAAGCGCGACGTTTCACGTGCTGTTGAGCTGTACAAAGCTAACAAGGTGAGTTAACATGCATCCCCGGTTTGCCGCTAGTTTTGAATTTCCCTACTAATTCCATGTTTATCGCCCTCTAACAGCTGGCGAGTGCTAGTCTAGTCAAACGTGTACCGATCCTAGTGTATTCACCGTGTCTCCGCTCCATTCAGCTGGCCGTGAGCCCAATATGTTTCGATGAATTGTGGGAGATACATCCTACCCAATTCACTCATGAAATCTATAGTTCTAGCTTTAATGGAGCTGTGTGATGTAATAAATGCATGAATCCCGAAGGTGCCGTTCGCATTTTTCCATTCCCACCATTTATGGCGTCACTAAATCTTACCGCTGGGTCCCAAGGGCCCTGTTTACAAGACTACAGTAAGGGCTGTGTTGTTTTATGGATGAGACATGGTTCTGCCGACGGATAGTCGTAGGTGTCTCTGGGTTTCTGACAACCGATGCCTCAGGAGCGGTGCTAGTATCGTTGGCGTGGACGAATTCTTAACGAGGTAATGGAAAACGTGTTCGGCTGTGCAGTGGATACATCAGTCACATAACGTCCAGCACCAACTGCGGCAGTTCAACCATGGTTACGCATTCCAAATCTCCCAAGACTCAATGGCTGCTTCAGGCTGACACAAACTGGTGACTTGACAATAGTTTGAAAGAGATCGCTGATTGTTGTGCTGGTTGTCGTGTTGGTTGGTTGTTGGTCCCTGTGCCTGGCTGGAGTTTTCACGACAAACGGAGCTTACGTGATGTTAGTGACAGTTAAGCGCCAGAACGTAGCTCTAGTATATTGCCGTCGGTGTTACTGGTGATATTAGTAGCGTTCGTGCTGTCGATTTCCAGAATATCTGGCCGAGTGTTTGGTGCCTCAAAGGGCTCGCGGTAGTTCAATATCCTGTGCAACATTCGCGCTTTAGGGGTTTGAATCTCATTAAATGAACTTTCTGGGTCTATGACACTGAAGAATCAATGTCAACATTTATACCACTGCCTCTGGTGGTAATGTGCCGTTTATATTCCCCCTTGGAAAAGCTTCCACTCGCATGTTAAACTTCTAACAGGGACTTACCTGGGGCACCAGTTCTTCGTGGCTGGGTTTTCTTTACGAACAGACTAGGCGCACCAAGTGCGTAAATATGCACCTCGACATTGTCGCAGCTGCATTGTGACAGTCAGGGATCCGTTTATTGATCTTAAAATCACATGGCAAAGCTCATCGAAGCAATGCCTGACAGCAGTGTGGTTCGCTCTCGAGACGTGATATCAATTTGTCTCCTCTTTTTGGATGCTTACCGCTTGGGTTTCGAAAGCGATCTCTATGCTAGTTTTGGGTATACCCGTATTACAGTATTCCATTATGCTGTTACTCCTTGAAATGATCCTACTGTCTTTTGTCTCTTGCGCAGACGTTTTCCATTGCATCTTCCGCTATACCGTCATAATTGTATGTCTGTGTTTCATCGCGTTCCTCGGACCCATTTCATCACGGAGACTACTTGACTTGGTATGGTCTACGCCTTAGCAATCGAGCCTGTGTATTCGAAGTTCCTCTGCTACACACAACAGAACCCTAGTCGTTCGTTTTTGGCACCTTTTCAGTAATCGAGCGAAACGTGAGATACCCGCAGGTTGGGCAAACCTAAACAAGAAAAGCGATATTTGGATTTGGACCTCCAACCTTCCAGTTGGTAGCCTCGCGCCTTGACTCATGAACTATCTCTAGTCCACTCCATACTCTGTACTTGGATGCCGATGAGTTTGGGTTGTGTCAGTTTCATCACTTTATCTCTATTTACACCGACTCGTTTGTCCTTGCGGCTGGCACAATTAGGTGACGACGTCCAAACGTGGGCTGACACCTGCGTGAAAGCCAGCCTAGCATCACCATAAATTTGACTGACTGTGGCTTCACGTCGGATTTATACCGTTGACGTAAATCGATGATGAGGTACTGGTTCCTCTTGTGATGTCAAACGACTGAATATTGAAAAAAGAACCTGGGAAGATGCAGTCCAGTCGTATGGTCAGAAAGAAAATGGTGAGGAAGATATCCACCATTCATGTTACTGGAGCTGCAACTATATTTCGTGTAGCTGACAATGATCGAAAAAGCATACGTTGGTTGTGTTCACTGCTGAGGTACGCCAGGTAGTCTTAGAAAGAGGGGATTCTTCCGCGATAGATGAATTACTCACGCTTCATAGGTTGCGCTAGTTGGGTCATGTACTCCACATACCAGAAGACCTTTCTTCCCAGCCCTGTGCTGAGTAGAAATGACCGAGAGGTGGACAGTGTATGACCTAGCAACGAAGTACGAAAACACTAACCAGTAAACTTAGTCGGGTGGGCAACTGCCGCGGGACCAGTGGTTAATGACATTTGCGGAAATGGCCCAATCGCGCAGTCAGTGACGCGCATGCATCAAAGCTATCGCCTTCAATATGCCTCTACCCAATTTCCGAACAAACTGAACATGCCTTCGCCTCCAAGGCTTGGTTGTATGTTCCACTTTCCCGTTTTCCGGTGATCGAAACTGTAGCAGCCGGAACCAATGTGCCTGTGGTACACGGTTTATAGCTGGTAAGTTGTTGAATTGATTGATTGGTCGATTGATTGATTGTGTTCAATAATACCTATTCAAACTGCATCACAGACCACCTGTTTTTTTATGATGGTTAAAGTTCCACGGCTACTGATATTGCACAAATACACTGAAGTGGATGCAACAGTGAAAATCTCAGACGAAGACGTGTGTAAATCAATCAAGTCCAAAGTAATAACTACAGAAATGTTGAAAATTACGGTGGCAGGACGGTGGAGGATTGCCACCTATCCATAGACTTGTATGAAGTTGGCGCCATTTTGTGAACCAAATGAGGAAAAATACCACTAGCCCTTGTGAAATAGTTGGATGCTTTTTATGTTCTGAGAAGATCTTACCTGAAAGAGTATGACAGAACTTATTGGTTATGTATGAACTGGTACGTTTGGAACGGGCTCTGTCAAGCTGTGAACTCGTCACATCACCTTTCGCTTCTGAGAAACTGATGATGACATGGTGAGATCAACTGTATTTCCTTTCGTTACTACCTTATATTCCTCGACTTTTTTTGGTCAACCAGCGTATGCGGTACACCGAAAATGTGACTTCCATCGACCCACTGGAAGAGGGAGTCAGAAAAGAACTGCTTTCAGGAAAATTCACCGTCTTGGTAAGTCACCTGTTAGTCATTGATCGCGTTTAGGCTCTTAATGTTTTATCCAAAGAAAGGCTTTTCTGTCTGTCTTTTAGTCACTTGGCGCTGAAAACTAACGTTTTACAGGTTGTGCCTGTTTGGAAAGTGCTTCCATCTCCAGCCTAATAAACCACACCTCATTCCGATATTTATGTTATAGAAATATCAGCCCATTTCGATCAGTCTATCTCCATTAGCGACTAATACTACCCTTTTCACTGCGGCCACTTGTGGTGTCAAGAAACACATCACTGAGTCTCCAAAGTCTCGTTAACCAAGGTACAGTACATGTTATATCGTGTAGTTGCGGAACTTGGCTCCTGATTTCGAGCTCCTCGGATCTTTGACGACCGGTATCTCAATTCTGGATGATGTCTGTTGTGGTCCATTTTCCTGGATGAGATTCCCATAATCCCAATGCACCAGGCTGAAGGCTGCAAGATTGGGTGGCTAATTAAGGCCATTAGAGATTTTGCGGAATGTAGGTAGCTCGGGTGATTGGTTGATCTATTAGCTGACCCACTCAGCCTGGCACTGATGATATCACCCGGATTGGTGATGAAACGTTTGGAATCCAAATGCCCACCACTAGTGGACGTGTTGAACTCAGGCGAGAGCTTCCCGTATACTCGTACGCGCCCACAGGATTTCGCACACAGTGCTCTCATAAGGGTGAGAAATTTGGAACAGCTTTGATCGCCATTTACTGCCAAAGTTTGTGACGATCGACAGAATCAAGAGCAGCTTTCAAATCAAAATGACCAGCGTGGGACTTCTGAAGGAGTGGTGCTGTTCAAGAATTTGTCTCAAGATAAGGATGTGGCCGATGCGTTTTCGACCAGAGCGAAACCTAGCTTGATTCTCACGAATCTGTCTCTTCCGACAACCTACCAACTTGCGAAAAATAATGCCAGAGTGTATCTTTGATGCGACGGATACCAGGTACAGCTTTGAATAGACAAGCTGCGAAGTCGGCCGATGCAAAAACCCGTCCATAGTGCAAATCTTGTGAAATCAGTGAAGTTTCCTAATACTTTCACATTAGATCGATCAAGTTCCTTCAGGATAGCAAGATGAAATCTTGGTTTCAAGGAGTTTTGCTTCCGGTGGCACGTATTTCGAAATCTGTAGCAAACATGACTTCTAGTCAGACATGACACTAACAATGAGGTCAAGCGCATCTACCAGGGTAGTGCTAGTCTGAAAAACCTGAAACATGTGCGCAGTTTTGGCGGTTCGTTGTTCTAAATAATATCCACAAGTGTACAACTGTGACCCCATTCTCATTTGGTACAGGGCAGCTTTATGCAGGATAAAGCTTTCCAAAAGCTGGTCTCTAACGTTTCCAGGTTCATCATCATCGGCTTGTTTGGTAGTTGACCGTAATCAGTCGTTTAGCTGTAGCACCTTTTCGATGCCCATGTGCCATGCTACCCAAAGGATGTTCGAACGTCGAGATGCTGTCTGGTTGCCCAAACAGTCTATTTGCAGGGATCGGGTTGGAACCACGGGCCTTACGGTCGGTAAGTTCGCGCCTCAACCATATCTATGTCGAGCTAGGAAGTTGATGATGATTGGCATCAGTAGTATGCCTCTCCTATGGCTCAGATAAATGTGCTACCATGTGTGCTTCCAGAAATTTGTCGCGTTGCTTGCCGTATTATTTTCCCCTGTAGTACCAATGACCTTGATGTGTGGTCTGGGTAGCATACAAAATAATGGAGTAATAACAAGAACCGGTCCACATAGTGGCCTTAGCCTTTGCTTGTCACTTTACATGAGGAGACCGAAGATAGTTCAACTTTGTGGTGTTTCGGAATGTGGAAAACCGGGCTTGTTGTTAATTAACTGACCACGAAAGTTGGAGAAAACAACAAGAGGCTCGCTCACTCGATAAAACTTTTATTTTACGTCTGTGTGCGTTGAGTGCCGCGCGTCCCCAGGTTCTGTGTCATGAATTCAAGCCATTCTTTGGTACGATAGCCTCACCCTGGCCCCAACTGCCGTGCGCTAATTTACTCAAGGTTACTTAAAGGTTAGATCTCCTCATGTGGGCTTGTGGACAAGAGCCCTCCCACCTTGTCAAATAAGTTGTCATGTCCGTACGCTCTGGTTTGCGAAGCGTTCAAGATAGTGACCGGCAATTCAGTCTCTGCGCCCCCCTCATTTAAAGGCTAAGTTTACAACGTGCAATCCATGAGTGGTTGATTACAATCTTTTCTGTCGGACCGTGACGTAATCGTCCCAGAACCACACTACCCAATATCCCAAATCAGTCGTGCTTTGCAGGATTTGTGGCTGGTCCACATACAAAAACGGCATCACATTACGCACTTAGCCTGCTTAACTACCTATAGCTTTTAAACGGCAGGTCAGAGCTCAACACAACTTCGTAACCCTATTTTTAGCCAGACCTTCCCTAATATTTTCCATTCGGATCATTTTAACAGGTGTTAAAATGCCACAAAATCTAACAAGGTTGACGCTATGCGATAATTGATGTAAAAAGCACTCATATCGCGGTTTGACGCAAGTCCTCTTCTGCAGGAACTTCGACCATCTGGAGCTCTCAGATTTGACCTTTCACAAGGCCACCCAACCGGCTTTGTTCAATTTGTTCCGAACCAGACAGTTTGCACTTCATCATGACGCTATCGAAATCACTGGACAGTCGCAGTGGAATTGGACGACCGTTGTAGGGAAGACTTTATAAAAGCGTACACATTTCTTATTCGGACTGTCCTAAAAACTACAACCTCACACATCCATTTCTGTCACAGTGCTTCACAGTGTTTCAGCTGGAATAAACATCCTGGGTCTTCTCGGCCAGCTAGCCCCTCTCTTTCCAGAGTACAGCATCTTGACCTAAATACAGTGTACCTCATCACGCCTTCTGTGCTCCCCATGGTTTATACAACCGCAAAGTGCCCACACTCCAGACCTGACCAATCCGCTCATGCTAAAACAGGGACTACAGTACCTGCCTGTTATTCAGTTAGTCATGAAGCCATAGATGGCTGTAATAGGTGACTTGGACTTCGAAAACGATCCGGAGAAATTATCGTGATCCCTTGACGATATTCTTCAACTACTAAGTTTCCTGTCTGATATGGTTTAATGCACATTCTGTTTCATACTATAGATGGAATTTGTACTTTTGCCGTGACTAGTAATCCCAGCGTATTGGTCTGGTTTCATCTGCCACGCTTAGAATAGTACCAAAACACATACGCTTCGTAATCTTGAAGAAACTTATCGTAATGCAGTAATGTGCTCATATGCCAACTGAGCTCGTATCGCCTTGAGACTCGCAAATCTCTTGTTCATGATATTCTTTAATCAAATGTGCCCCACAAAGAATGCTTCATCGCTCATTTGGGCCAATATTCAAAACATCGAGGTATTATTCCTTGATACGATGATGATGATCGATTATCATTCAGCTGGATCACTCTTTCGGTGCCTAGCTGCCATGCCACACGAACGAGGTGCGAGGGCTGGGATACTGCTAGGTCGCCCAAGCCTAGACAGGGGAAGTCGAGAGGCAGAGGTCGGGTTCGAACCACGGACCTTCCCGTCAGTAGATTCGCGCTCTAATCGCTTGATCCATCTCGCCCCCTTGATACGATACTATCTCTTTGGTGTTCAAGCAAGGTTAAGGTAAATTGTAGACTAGTTATATCTGGTAAGTTCTAACATGATAGCAGTAGTGGTAGGAAAAATGCTTCGATTTGTTTCGTCACCAATCCAGGAGGCATAAGCGGTGCGCCTCCCCCTAGTCAGGTGCGAATTAATAACGTCTCCTTGATTGGTGACGAAACGTCTGCAGGCTAGTTGCAAAGCCCGGCGAACAGATCAACAGCCATCAGCAAACCCAACCGAGCTAACGCCATTTCAACACTGCCAAAATCTGGTTGCATTCGAAGCACCTTGGTGGATACCAAAGTATTTCCTCCATGGGAGTGTTTTCTCTTGAGAATGCATGTTCCTTACCTTCTGCAATCATTAGTGACAAATTCAGTTGTTTTCAGCCTTGTTATGGTTTTCTGGCGAAAAACTAAATGTAAACTTCGTGTGACCACTTTTAGCAGAGTCCGAGCCTTTTTGACCAACCCTCTCTGACTTTTTGCTTATCCCTTGGTATCCGCCATGTTTGAGCATGAGAAACACCAGTCAGCCGAAGTCTGCTCCTTGTCTATTCATTAGGCTGAGTATTTTCCCATTAGTTTATGGTGCTATCTTCGTCAGTTTCATGCATTCTAATAACAGTCCCACCTGTTCTAACTGTACCGCCTTGCTGAACATATCCCAATACACCCACCAATAAGCCGACCTTTATTTGCATTGGTGATAATTGCAAAAGTGGCCTCCAAAAATTGAATCTGTTACCAACGGGTCAATCTCCTCTGCTGTATCAAACGTGTTCGATGGTGTATCGAGGCACGGCTTCGTATCACGTCGTGTTGTCCTACCTATGATGCACTGAACTCAGTTGATGAATCTTTAATGAATCCGCCGGACCGGATGATCCAGCTGCTGAGCTGCGAAAACGCCGTTTATCGTACGTTGACCTTGCAACATCGATGATGAATTGCTCACTTTTATCCGATATCCTCCTGCTGATGTTACCAGCACGCACAATTGGCCGGGGTTAAGCTACCTGTTCCAACAACGGTGCTGGCCACGACTGAGCCCTCGGACTCAATGAATGAATAAATGTCACATCGTGCATCTAGATCAACGTGGTGTAACAGTGTCTTACCGATTATCAGGGTACGTGTTCTGACGTGCAGTGTCCGATCATGAACTTCGGTCACCTGATTAATATCGGCCAATGACAAGTCCATCTTCATTGTGGTGTGCGCTCGACGTGGTCCCTGTATCGTCTAATTTGCAATGCACTGAGACGGCAGCGAAGCATCAGTGTTGTACACTGATGCTATGCTGTCGATGGTGATGATGATGAACAGACAGACCGAAGAAGCAATATCTCAGGGATTTTTGCCGTGTAACCGACGCTGCGTGTTTGTGCTGACGTTTAGTGATCAACGCCAACTGATTGGTCTGTAAGCTGGGTTTGCAGTATTAACAGAATCGGTAGTCACACTGTTTTTGTGAAAATTACTTTAAAAAAAAAACAGATATACTGACATAGAAGCCAATTCTTCATCAATATCCCGCGCGACTCGAGTGGGTTAGGAACAAATGGCTTTCGGATCGGGCAGCTATCATCCTGGTTGTAATATCGAGTTTAGAGATCCAGTTGTCACCAGCAACGAAACGAGTCAAATCCAAACTTCAAGCAAAATCAATACGTATAATTCGGAAGTTTTCGTCATCGGCTTCCTACTTCAAACCAGTTATTTGTCACGGGAACAGACAGATTGGAATTATTTTATCCGTCAGCTTTAATATCAGTGATCGTGATCATGGGCAGCGACACATATACGGCCGACCAACTGCGGTGGTTTTCCTAGATTCTAGAGAGCGTTTGACTCTGTGGTTAAATTGGCTCTGTTACGTATACTTGGCCAGCGAGGATTGCCCTCGAAGTTTGAATATTCTTGGCGCAGTTCATCCGCACACATCTGTTCGTATTAAGATTTCTGTCCCCAAAATTGGTATAGTTCGTCATGGATGACCACTCTACTTTTGTTCATTCTCGTCGTCGATACCATCATGGATTATACTCTCCACTAGACCGCGAATCTGGGTGTCGAAATCACCTCTGAATTAGAACTACATCGTGCGAATATTATTCCGTTGCTCGAAGGTCATGCGTCTTCACAAGCTAGTCTAAATAAGATATCCGAAATGGTTCCGTATTTCGGTTTTGTCCGGGACATTTTGTCCAGATACAGACAGCGACCAGCTTTGGCTTACAATCGATGCGCTCTGTTTCCGGAAATGTGGAGACAAATCAAAATCAGCCAAGCGACTACTGAATGCAAGAGACCGATTCTCCACCGAACCCTGTCGGGGTATAACGGTGATACTACTGATGTGAGAGGCATGCGAGTAGTATGTTTTGTTCTTGTAAATTCGCTTTGCGTCTCTTGAAAAGGGAGATCTGTTGCGGAATTTGTGGAGTCGCTTTGTGGCATTTGCCTGGATTTGAGCAATGAATGATTGGAGTCAATGAATATCCAGGAAAGTTCAAGAAGACACGTTCAGGAGAAGATGGATGTTCAGTTTTTGTAAATAAGATGCAAATAAGAGTTTTGCTTCCCTGTCCAATAGTCTGTAACTGGTCAGTGGGCATTTTATAACAAATAACTCCGCAGCGAAGGCCTTCTTCCTTTCAGTGGTAGTTCAGGATACCATATTTTGAAGCACCAATTGATATCCGGTAACTCATCAGGGTGGCTACCAGTCAGATACATGAGTGTTTTCTATAGGGGAGAATGTTGGTAACTCACCACTACGTTCCCCAATAACGCGTTAATGATGTCACCTCGATTGGTGATGAAACGTTTGCAATGAAATTTTCCAGCTCAGCGAACAAGCCAACGAGTGTCTTTGTCTGTACATGTTTGTCTCTGATGCAAATAAGAATAGTTTCTTCTCAGTTGGCAAAATTGAAATCTGTCCCCGAAGTTCGTGTGTCAGTGTTCTTTGCCCCCAAGTTGCTTCCTCGTTCTAATGTTTACCTACCAACATATGTTAATAGAATGGTTTGTGTGCGAATTTACTGACGAGAAGGCCCGTGGTTCGAACCCGACCTCTGCCTCTCGACTTCCCCTGTCTAGGCTTAAGCAGCCCGGCAGTATCCCAGCCCTCCTGCTTCCTTCGGGTGGCGTGGCAGCTAGGCACCGAAAGGGTGCTACACCTGAACGAATAGGCTCCGTGCTGTTAAGCCTCCAGGTATTTCTGGAGCATTTCGATAGGCAATCAGACTCTTTTCCGCAAAGTACAATCTGTTTTGGTCATGAAACGCGCAAATTAACCTCAATTCCTGGTTCTTGTGTTAGGTTTGGAGTTCTCGGCACCATATGCTGATTGAGACCACACCAGTTTTGCGTCACTATTTTTACTCACCGTCAAAAGCACCTTAACATATGTAAAAGGTACGTCGAATTCTTGTTTTTGAATCATTTCCTTTCCCTCTCCTCATACCTTTCCGTTCTCCACACGTGCGAATATGAAGCCAGGTACCGGGACAGACGATCTGTCCGCTACCATTGCCATCTTCACAGCTCACCGCCACTGGCCGCCGTTGACCACGCATCGAGACACGCTTAAAGGTGTTCTTTACCAGCTGGATGTTGCAATGATGGAGTGAGTTTTTCCTCTATTTTAAAAAAATAATTTTCCGCCCTTTTGCTTTCGTCCGTTAATCACATTCTCCCCGTCGATCGACGGGACAGTTAACCGAACAACCATACCGTTGCTCCTGCCACCAGCAGCTGTGTTACCGATTGTGTCTAGATCCTCACAGATTAGATTGTTGGTTGCATTTGGCGCGCTGTTTACTATTTTTCCCTGATGATATTTTTCCGTCCACTATTTTATGCCCAAACGTTTTTTTGTTGCACGAAAATTTAAAACAACGGAGATTGGATAACTTCGATGTCAGAAGCACCGTTTCTGATAGAAAGGGGAAAAATAGAATGTTGTGATTTAATGGGCGGGGTTTCGTAACTGTAACTACATGTCTTACTCGTGTATTGTTCAAAACGGAGCAGAGATACAAACCATCAGCCTGGAACGGCTAGATTGGGTTGGGCGTTACTAGTTCCCCAAATAAACGCCCAAGTTGTCTGCAACCTCATCTCTAACCACCCTATTTCTCAGAATCCATATGGGTGGTCGTTCAGATATGACCACGATGAATGCCCAAGGTTTTGGAAACTTAAATTTCCCGCTCGCTTGCTTCAGTCTCATTGAATCCATGCTTCAACGCTCCGTCTGACATCACTGCTCACGTTTGTCCATAACATCGAGTCAGTCAGGTACGGTATTTAGAGTAACCCCCTCCCACTCGCCACACGTTATCATCATCATCGCGGTTTTCACTGACAGCAACACCAGCATGAAACATCACGGCCGTACTACCACACATTCATGCCAGTCTGTTTAAATGAAACCCTTTCGCAGAAGGGCCTCGCATAGACAGCCCAGGTGCTCACACCTCCAACTACAAGCGAAATGACTCATTGGTTAGAACGCGATTTTACTGACCGGAAGGTCTGTGGTTCGAACCGGACCTCTGCCTCTCGACTTCCTCTGTCTAGGCTTGGGCAACCTGGCAGTATCCCAGCCCTGGTGCTTCCTTCGGGTGGCATGGCAGCTAGGCACCAGAAGGGTGTTACCGTTGAACCATTACTGTTTTATTATTAACACGAGACCTACGTGTTTTGGAGCACTCTGTCTGTTCTGTCTTATACAAAGACCAATTAGAAGCGGTATTGGCAGCTCGACCACTGGAGAACCGTATCATCATTTCGTAGCTGTCTCTCCACTCGTGGAGGTCCATTTTATATATCATCCTGACCACCAATCAGGCTCTGACACTGCCGTTGTGATTGATCTCACCCAACTAAACCCGCTTCAATTCATTTTGGATGCACATAAACAGCGGTATGGGGTGAGCGCGAATTTACTGACCGGAAGGTCCGTGGTTCGAACCCGACCTCTGCCTCTCGACTTCCCCTGTCTAGGCTTGGGCAACCTGGCAGTATTCCGACCCTCGTGCTTCCTTCTGGTGACTAGGCAGTTAGGCACCGAAAGGGTTCTACAGCTGAACCACTTAACTGGATAAAAACGAACAGTACAACGCCAGTGAAGTGGATCCTCAGCCATATGTTTAAGTCTCTCTATCCGTGAACAGGGAGTCACTTGCAATCCCACCCTGAGAGACAGATCCCACTTACACCATCCAAACTTTTCGGCATCCCCTTATCTCTTTTCGTCAAGGCGTCTTTCGGTTTTCGGCTCTTTGGATTGGGTGCGAAAAACAACGGCCTTCTCGTTTGACGATAGTTCAATATTCGTGGTGCATAACGGAGCTACCAACCTCGTGTTACTGGTTACTTTCTTCAAGCGAAAAGAATCGTGAAGGAGCTGATATTTTAATTTTCCATTAAATATGCCTGGTTTTCGCGTGAGAAGGAACGTTGTTCTACAACTTAGTATAATATAGGGTGTTTGCGTGAAGGTTCGAAGGACAGAGGTCACTCCAGTACTGACCAAGCTCGAAACTCAAGTGGTCATCGATTAATAAGGACACAGGATGACAGACCAACCAGTGAAACCGTCTAACCGAACAATCACTCTTGACCGAAGGTCAGCCCCGGATAGCAGCACGTATATTAACACACATGTATCACTACTCAACGCACAATCAGCAACCCATCGCTACGCCCTCACTACGCTCCCTCTCGGTGAAACAAACCCCACAGAGGCGTCTTGGTAAAGAGCGAACTTACTGACCGGATGGTTCGTGGTTCGAACCCAACCTCTGCCAGTCGACTTCCCCTGTCTAAGCTTCGGCAGCCTGGCAGTATCCCAGCCCTCGTGCTTCCTCCGGGTGGCATGGCAGCTTGGCACCGAAAGGGTGTTACAGCTGAACGATTACTGGGTATAATCGCAGACCAATGTCCCATAAATTAGCGTAGTCGTTCGTTAATGAAGCATCTTTACTCACCACTGATGTTGCTTCCGGTGATGCTGATGGCCAGGATGGGCAGCATCCTTATTTCTAGTGCCACCCGAGGCTGGCAGTTTTTTTGGGGAGGGGGGTATAAACACTTCACAATTGTTGAGCACTATCCCTTCCATTTTGCATTCACCCATGGCTGTGGTGTTGTCTGTGATGGAGATAGCGATAGCTAGTGGTAGGAAACAAGCCTAGTGAGAAGGTGATTCACCCTATAGCTGATTTCACCACGTCCGTTGTTTCGTACGTAACTTGAGAGCGTGAAGCCACGTATCGCTTGCCTGGCTTATTTGTGATCTGCGCTGCGTTGTGGTACGTCTTCGCGTTCCATTGGTTTGTTGGCTACCTTCCCTTTGTGTAATAGGTAACTTTGGTGTCTGCTGTGAGTAGTCGTAAGGCATCCTGAATGGGTCAGCAGACTGTTGCGAACCTGGGTCTTGATCATCTTGCCTTTGCGGCGTCTATCTGAGACATTTCTGAGGTCCAATACTGCTGTCTGAAGGCATAGCCGCTTTAAAGTAAACAGTGAACTGTACCTCAAACCTTCTTAGATGTCTACAACTTTGACTACTCAGTCAGACATTGCGAATGGGAACTAGAATCAGAAGTACCACCGCGATTGATGTATGGCCGAATAGCGTATCGCTACCCGGGAAAAACATCTCTATTGCTGTGTCAACAAGGTGTCACACACGGTTTCCACCCTCATCTCCTTCACTTTACACGTTTCATTCAACCCATCCACTCCCACGGAGGTGAACCTCAACCCCACTCCACCTGTTTGCTTGACATTTAGCTGTCAGAAGATTGGTCGGTCATCTACACGCGATGACGGTTCACCATCAATGGTGTTCGCCTCTCTTGCGTCTATCGCCCCATTATTTTTAGTCAACAGTTCGAGCTGTTCACCATCAATGGTGTTCGCCTCTCTTGTGTCTATCGCCCCAACAGTTCGAGCCGTAGCCACCCATATACAGGATTTCCGGGCAGTCCTTTTTTCTATAGGCACCCGAATTTTCTCTTCAACTCCCATGTGTGTGTGTGTGTATGTGTCCGTGTGTTTGTTCCCAAAACACCTCCAGCCTTGCGCGCACGCATCCACACTCAGTGTGTGTGATGCTGGTTAATTACGAGGAACGTGCACTGTACACGTTCCTTACCCATGTTGACTCATTCACACCTTGGTGCTAAAATGTACGGTCTGTTACAGGTTGTGTGAATCCAGTGGATTTGGGCAAAGTATCGTATGGGTTTCTTTTTCTTAGGCTGCAATGTAGTGGCAGCTGTTCACTTCACAGGTGGCAGTACTGGTCAGCTGGATCGACTGAGATTCTTTTTTCTTTCCAAGCACAGTTTTTACAACCAGCTATGTTTTGTTCGCTTCACAAAATGCCTGACCTATGCGAGGTTATGTGGATGAACATGGGGGTATTCACGAGACCTTCCGGTCCAGAGTCCACGTTGTTCAATTCCAATTCATGTGTTCTCTAGCCCCAGCAACCTTGTGGCTTCGGTCTGCTGAATTGATGGATCACCATAGATGCCGTTTTCATTGACTTCGCCCGGGTTCGGAAGGTCCGTGTTTCGAACCCGACCTCTGCCACTCGACTTCCCTTGTCTAGGCTTCAGCAACCTGGCAGTATCCCAGCCCTCGTGCCTCTTTCGTGTGGCATGGCAGCTGGGCACCGAAAGGCTGCTTGCTACAGCTGAACGGTGTTTGTTTTACTTCGCCGCACTGTTTGCCTGATCCACACACATAAATGTCGATTTTTGATCGTAACCTGCATCGTTAGGATCCTCGTGATTATTCCTCACACTCTCCTGACCAAGTAGCTGCACACTGCTGCATTGTCTTCCTACTACAGCGGGGCTATTGAGACAGAACTCAACAATGCATGACGACGTGTGTGGCTCAATCATTCATCCACTGGTGATACGTAAAACCGTCATCTCCCATGATCAGCTGCCTCGATTCCCACTGAGATTTTAAGATCGACGAGTTCTTTTGGTTGTCGCTTTCATCGCATGACTAGCTCCCCCTACACCCCCCTCCCGATACCTTATTAGTGCACTACTGTTGATGGCCATAACACACAAATCAGGTGTATGCACTAATAAAGGGTTTTAGCATGGTTGACAGTGGTGGGTTGCAACACGTATAAAAATAAATACAATGCGAAAGTGGGAGCAAGTCAAAAACAGGAACTTATCGTCTGTGAGAGTTCCTTGGTGAAAGTCCGGACGGTGGGAACGTGTTTTCTCTGCACGTGTTCCATAATTGTCCATGGACCTGGAGTGTTTCACTGACTCCTTGCTCCCTGCGCGCGAGTCTGTGTGTGTTGACTGTGTTCGGTTTCCTTATATGTAGGTCCGTTTGCGTGTACGTGGGTGTGTCAGCACATGAGTAGTTGCTGCACTCACTAGACGATACAGAAAATCGACGTCTGATGAGTCACCTTAATGGGACGTGGTTGTGGGCATGAAAAAAAGACAAGTCTCGTGATCCAGTGAGCGACTGTGAGCTGAACAGTCAAGTATGTGGGTGACTGGGTAGCTACAACCTCACATCAACCTATCCTATTACGATGTTTATAGGTGGGCAATTGTTCATCCACTGCTT